TCTATCTATCTATCTATCATCATCTATCTATCTATCTATCTATCTATCTATCATCTATCTATTATCTATCTATCTATATCTATCTATCATCTACACATACACACACACACACACACACACACACACACAGGCAAAGGTACAAACAAATCTGTCTTAGAAAAAGTACATCCAGAAGGCTCCTTAGAGGTAAGGATGGTGAACTTCATTGTGTTTACTTTGGACATGTTGTCAGGAGAGACCAGACCCTGGAAAAAACATGCTCAGTAAAGTAGAAGGGCATCTAAAAGAGGGAAACCTTTGGTGAGATGGACTGACACAGTGGCTGCAGCAATGGTCAAACTTAACAGTGTGGTGAGGATAGTGCAGGCATGGGCGGCGTTTCATTCTGTTGTTGTGCATAGGGTTGCTATGAGTTGGACTATTCAACAGATATATATATATATATGTACATATGTATGTGTATATATATATGTATGTATATATGTATATATCTGCTGTTGTTAGGTGCCGCTGAGTCAGTTCCAACTCATAGTAACTCTATGTACAAGCTATACACATACATTTATATATATATAATTACATAAAGCTGTATATATGTAAGTTCATTTATTCCACTACATTCCTGTATTGAAATAGTTAGCATTCTCTGTGAGGAAGGCAATCTGATCCACGGTTTTGGGTACTTTTTTGGGTAGCATCTTCAAAAGTGTCGTAGAGTTGAAGATGTCACTTTGAGGACTAAGGTGTGTCTGATGCAAACCTTGGTATTTTCAGTTGCCACATAAGTGGGGGAAGGCTGGACAATTATTAAGGAAAACCAAAGAAGACTTTGAATCATTGTGTTGGAAAAGAACATCAAATATTGCGTAGGGTGTGCTAAGAGAATGAACAAATCTGTCTTTGAAGAAGTATAGTCAAAAATGCTCTGTAGAAGCAAGATTAGTTTAGAACATGTTTTCAGTAGTAATTAATCTCTGAAGTAGAGCATACTGCTTGCTCCAGTTTGAGCGGAGCAGAGGGAGACCATTAATTAGATGGATTAGCACACTGGCAGCAAACAATGAATACAATGGTTTAGTAGTTATATAATTTCATGTCAACTTGATGAATAAGTGTAGGCGTGGTGTCTAGCCTGTCAATTAGGTCACAGGCTGATGCTACCTCCTTGTGGGTGTGGCCTTCTCATTAGGATTCTGGAAACTTTTTCTCTTTCTATACTCTCTCTACTTCACCTTCCTGTTGAGGAGCCATGTGGAGACCCACACCAGTGCTGAGATGCTTCCACTGCCGCTGGATCCACAAGACTTTGTACCCAGTAGCCTGTCATCTTCCTGCATTCAGCCTCATTGCATGTGCTGCTGAGTCTGAAGAGGAATTTAGAGACTAGTATCACGGACATATGGTCTGATATTGGACTTAAGGACTTGGGCTGGGATGTTTTCTCCATATACAATTGCTCTTTGATATAAAGCTCTCTCTTCCACAGATATGAGTGTCACTGGATCCGTTTCTCTAGTCAACTCAGTCTAACACAAATGACAAAGATTATGCAGAACCAGCCCATGTTCCTTCTTTTGTATATGTTTTGCTATAGGTTAGAGTTAACTGGACGGTACGTAATGACAATAATAATACAAGCATGCTACATAAATTTCATAACAACCTAACATGGTACAGGTAGTACCTTGTAAGCAAACACACCCTGCCTGAGAAACTTCTGACTTGTCCCATGAAGTGTGATAGGGACTGTGAGCAGTTGTGTCAGTTTAGGTTGGGCTTCGTCATCAAGTGAGGACTTTGGATTTCAGAATGGTAGGTCAGGGATTGTGTAATGAGCCCTCTAGACTACGGTGACCAGAAGTCCCGCTTTTGGCTTTAACAATTTTCCCTGCATCCCCCGGTGTTTTTGAAAAAGTCCCGATTTTTGGAAAGCATGCATGACAAGCTAGGGTATATATATGGTTTTCGGCTGCCATGTGGCTATTTCACCAGGATATGAGTTTTATCAATGGTGTCCCGCTTTACCAATGGTACAATCTGGTCACCTTATCCTAGACGGAAGGTCCATTTGATCTTGTTTACATGGTGGCTCAGAATCAGTATCGGTCCTTTTTAAATCTTTCATTGTGACGTGAGTGAGCATGTTCAGAGCAAATTGGGCTCCCCATTCAACACAGAACGCTTGGTGACACCGACTGCAGTCCCTGTGCTGTAACAGCACTCTTCCTGCTTCCTTCCTTTACCTATCCCATTCCTCCGGCTGTTAGACAGACCTGACTGGGCTGTATCGATCCATCTACTCTACCTACCTATCTATCATCTATGTGTCTATCCATCTAACTTTCCATTTACCCCTCCAGCCACCATCTTTCAAATACGCACTTTGTGTTCCTATGAGCACAGGCATTTTCCATTGACCTACTCTACCTCTGGTGCCACGGACCTCCCAGCCCAACAAGCGCATCCGAAGCAGGCATGATGTGCTCTCAGAGTCATGGAGACTCCCCACCCCCCTTCATCTACAGGAGATGCCAATACAGGGCACAGGTCGAGACTCAAAATTCTGCTACAAGAAGCGCTGTCTTGGTGCGTATGTTTATTTCTCCTTAATGACTCAGACCACAGCCTCTTACTACTTACATTTGGAGAGCTCAAGCCAGCTAAGCTATCGGGTTGTGGGAAAGTCATGTGTATGGATTTTTCTTGCCTGAATGAAAACACATTCTATCATTCAGATGAAATGTTAGCACTGTCTTGGGGGTCTGGATAGGAGCTCTGGGGGTGTAGTGGTTATGTATTGGGCTGCTAACTTCAAGGTCCACAGTTTGAAACCACTAGCAACTACAATTAAGAAAGATAGGGCTTTAAGAGTTACAGTCTCAGAAACCCATGGGTGCAGTTCCATAGGGTCCTGTCCTATAGGGTCACTATGAGTCAGAATTGTCTTGATGGCCATGTTTTGTGTTTTTTTTTTTTTTTGAGGGGCTGGATAGAGGCTGTCTGGTAGCATCCCACAAAGGAAACCAGAAATATGGCATCCATGACACACTTGCATGCAATTTGTCAGAAACAATGTATGTGAATTTCTGTATTCTGGGAATCAGCTATGCCTTTAGAGCAAGTCTCTTTTGTTTGTTGCTAAAATTTGGAAAAAGAACCAGCTGACTTAGCGTTCGAGCTGACTCAAACTGTTGAAAGTGACAGGGGGGTGGGGCAAGTGTTAAAGGAAGATGGCAGCCGATTTCTTTTGTTATGTCAGTTTTTATTTTTTTCCAAGAACAGTTAACATTTGCTAGGCACCTATTGGCCTTAGTCATTTGCGTCTAAAGAGCAAAGCTAATTTACCCCCCCGCCCGTGTTCTTTTAAATGGTTAGCCTGATTTCTCAGCTCTGTGAAACACTACTCTACCATTAACTTCAAGTTCATCTTTCATAATCTAATCCATTATTGTCAACTGCTCCCTGTCACGTGAACAACAAAGTTAAAAAAAAAATTTGGGGTGGTGGTAGTGGTAAGGTGAGCAGTCGACGTTTATCTGTGGATACTTCAAGTAATTGGCCCCAAAGTGAAATTATTGACTTGGCCATGGTTGATTGTGTTCGTGGGCATCAAACATGGAAGAAAATGGCCCCGTGGAAGGGATGGGTTTCGAAGAAGGTGAGAACAGGTGAGAATTCTATAACTTCACTTCAACTGGCCTAATATCCTGAGTCACTAGATGGTCAGAGAGTAAATACAGTAAAAAAGGAACAAAGCAACGTACATTTATACCAAAAAAAACCCCACCCAAACAAACAAAAAACGACCGAAAAACCAAAAACCCAAAAGGCCCCAATCAACGGCAAATCTATACAAGATGAACAGCAAATGAAATTGCTTCTTAAAAAAAAAAAATCAAATCTCATACAGGTTACTTTTATACATACGTGGACATACACACACTCACACATGCACAGACGCACAGGCAAGAATGTGTATTTTGTCAGAGAGATCCTTGGAAATAGACATTCTTAGCAAATATGGAGGACTTATCAATTGTAATTTATTTTCTTTTTAACACTGTATCATCATAAAGAAAACTGGTATAAATGAAAAAAAATCTATTTCAAATATCTACATCTAAAATCGTAGGCAGTGAAAAAGCACTTTGTTGACAAGGAGTGTGGAATGACGTGTTAGTTGTCAGAAACTGCTGAATGCCTTGTTTAGTTGCCACAAACAAATTCACATATCAGAACGAACAATACTGCTAAATATTCCTTTTGTTTTGATTTTTTCCCATATATAGATATCTTTTTTTTTTTTTTT